AAAGAAATAACCCTGCAGTCATGGGGGCGTAGTCTTAATTAAATTGTGTTTCTTAATTGTGATTCCAATACGAAACAGGATCCTGCACCTATCATGAAGTTTCCATCTTCCTCCTCCTTTCTACCTCACTTTCCTTTTCGATTTTGCTAGGCCCTTCGCCCTCTCCAAGCTCTTCTTTTTCCCTACTGTGATGTAGGCAGGCCCCGGCCCTGCATGGGTATTACTGTTGGATTCATAACCAAAAGGGCAGCTGCTCAGAGTTAGACTGTGGTACAACCTGAACTACCAGCTTCCCAGGATTTATCAGATTCAGCTGAGAACATCAGAGGAAGCTGAATAAGGTGGCGCCTGGCACCAGAAGATGAAGGATAGTGGCAGAGGAATCCCCTCCCCCGCCCCCCCAATCTCCTAATAACCACTAATCTGCTTTCTGTCTCTATGGATCTGCCTATTCTGGACATTTCAAATAAATGGAATCATATAATATGTGGTCTTTGTGTCTGGCTTCTTTCACGTAGCACGTTTTCAAGGTTCACCTATGTTGTAACAGGTATCAGAACTTCATTTCCTTTCGTGGCTGAATAATATTCCATTGTATGGATAGACCATATTTTGATTATCCATGCATCAGTTGATGGACAACTAAACCCATGGGTTAGGATGGGTTGATTCTTGAAGTCAGAGGACTGTAACAGTCAAGGGCAACTTCAGCAGAAAGGCAAACAGCATTCTGACAGTACCCACTCCAGGCCCCTTGTATTCATTCGGACCCAGTCCTGAGCCAGTCAGTCTTTCAACAAATGTTTACAGACACCAGTCTGTGCAAGGCCCTGGAATACAAAGGTGAATGCCATGGGGTCCCTGCCCTCTGGAACCTCAGGTATCTTGCTTTGAGAGATTCCCATTAAATAAATCCTTGAAGAGCTTTCAGCAAGAGAAAGCAACCACACATCATAGGATTTAGCAGGTGATAGCTCTTGCAATATCTTATCACCCAACCTCAGTAAGAACCTTGCAGATCAGTCAATTTTTTAGGGGCATACAGGCTTAACCCCTCACTCACCTTTGAGTGATAATTGGACAAGCTACATACCCTCTCTAAATCTCAATCCCTCATCTGTGAAATGAACCTACTAATGTACTTATCTTACTAGCTTACTGTAGGGATTAAATGAGTTGAGGTAAAGCAGCCAGCACATAGGAAGTGCTCTTCAAGTATTAATGACAAGCTAAACTAGTTCTTCTTGATGCTGTAATTCTAGGCTCTGGGATTCCTCAAATTCTTGACCCAGCTTTGAGTCAGGAAACCACTGAACACTGACCTAGAGATGAAAGGGCCTGTGTAGCAAATGAGCCAGTGAAGAGCAAAACTACTCACCAGCACCAGGATTTTATTTTTAATTAGCCAGCTGTAGAAATAGGCAGAGCTTCTTAATTATGACTATAGATCCACCCTGAATCAACCTCTTAAAAGATGTGTAAGAGACGGGTCTGTTCAAAAGATTCCTCCTTTCCTTCACACTCATGCTTGTCCAGTTCATTCCAACACTAAGGCTTCTTTCTTGGCCTCCTTCCTTCGTCCCGCATGAGTTACCTTCCACTCTCCAAGGGCCCATACTGAAAAACAATCAAACGGAATTGAACTTTGCCCAATGACATTGTTCAAAGACCAAGCACATAAAAAGGAGAGGGAGGGACAGGGAAGGTCATAGCATTATAATCACAGTGGAATTACAGGCCAATAATAAGAGACTGGAAAGATCTCATGACAAAACAGGAAGCAAAAGGCATGGGTGACACAGAGGAGGGTGACACAGAGGAAGAGGACGTGCCCCAGGTAAGGACTGCCAAGTGTTAGCGTTTGGTGTTTTCCTAGAAGTAGGTATCAACACTTGACTTAATTCACTGAATGTTTGTTTATAAAATGGTGTGGGGGGAGGGTGGACAGGAGCAGAGGACTGCAACCTTCCAAAAAAGATTCACTTGGTTCTTTTTTAAGGGAAACAAGATCATCCCTTTTCTTCCTACCTCTCAGGAATTCCAGGATCTCTAATACTCCTAAGTGACTCAACATTACTCAAAAGCAACTCACTTGATTTGATTCCACTGGAATCATGCATTCATCACCACGTCTTACTGATGGGAGCATCAGATCTGGACTCAAGACAAAGATTCAAACCCCAGCTCTTCCATGTCTTAGCTACATGACCTCATGTGGGTCACTCCACCTCAGTGAGGTTGTTTGTTTCAAATCTACAAAACAGTGGAATGCCTGACACACAACATATATGCAATACATGTTAGGTGAAACCAATATTTTAAACATGAAAAACCCATTATTACCCACCCTTCAGACCGTCTCTCTTCCCCATCCTTCTTGGAAGTCTCTAAATCAGTTGCCAACCCAGAAAGCCAGACTAATTCCAGAAATTGGCACTCAAATTGATTTCAGCGGCACTACAAAGATGAACACTTGGAAGAGTAGCATCCTCAAGAAAAAAACAATCCCATTAGCTTGTGGTTTTCAAAAGGGTCTTTAAATGAAAAGCGTAAAGGAGTGAAAATAAGTTCCCCGAGATATAATATAATACAGTGCTCTGCTATACCTAAAATACCTACTCGTAAAACAGTATAAACTGAGATTTTATTTTGAAATTTAACTTCTAACTAGAAGCACTCCTCTTGGTTATGGGTCCACACTACTCCATAGGTGACTTCACCCAGCCTTTTAACTCTAAACACTGTGCACAAGCTAACCACTTCCACAGATCCATCTCCAGCCAGGCCTGTCTCCAGACTTCCTATCTGATTGTCAATGACAACTACACTTAGATTTCTATAGGCATTTCACAATCAATGTGAACGAAACTGAGGCCCAAACCCTGTTCCTCCTACACTCATCCCCATTTCAGTTAATGACAATTCCATTCTTCTAGCTGTTCACACCAAAGACCGGGGAGCCGCCCGACTCCTTTCTTCCTCTCACATCCCACATCCACAGACCCTGTTGGCTGCGCTTCAGAATATACCCAGGGCCCAACCCCTCCCCACCACCTCCATCACTACGACCCAGTCCGTCCTTCACCTGGATCCTGGCAATGGCCTCTGAACATGTCTCCCTACTTCAAGTCTTGCTCTTTACTCCTTCTCCACATGGCAACCAGAGTGAACCTGTTAAAAGGCAGGATGGATCATGGCCACTCCACTGCTCAAAACCCTCCAATGGTCCCAACTCACTTTGGGTGAAAACCAACATCCTTACAATGGCCTGCAAGGCCCTCCCACACTTGCCCATCTCGTTTCTTACCAACAACTCCCTGACCTCATCATCCCCATCACCCCTGGCTCATACCCTCCAGCCACTGGTCTCCTGGGTGGTCCACAGGAGATGGACCTGCCAGGGATGCTGTGTCCTTTGGGCTGTTGAATCTTCTGTTCCCTCTGCCTGGACCACTATGTCCCCATTCAGCCACATAGCTCCTTCCCTCACCTCTTTCAGCTCTTCACTCAACCACCACCTTCTCAAGAAGTCTTCTCTAAGGACCCTAATTCAAAACTACCACCCTCGCCAACATTCCACATCCTGTGTCCCTGCTTTATTACAATACAATAGCATTTTACTGGGTTCTTTTGTTGATTGTGCCTTTCCCCACTAAAATTTACTATCCACAAGGACAGGGATTTTTGCCTTTCTCATGCACTCTATTACTAGTGTTTAGAGCAGCACTGTGCAATACAATTCTCATTTTCCAGGAAACATTTTAAAAAGGAAAAAGAAACAGGTGAATTTAATTTCAATTAATACTGTGTTTAACCCAATAAACTTAAAATGTTATCATTTATAGTATATATTATTATATTTATTGTAATATAAAAAATATCAATGAGATATTTTACCTTTTATTCATATTAAGTCTTCAAAATCTGGTACTTTATACTCATAAGATATTTTCAGTGCTCAACTGCCCAGGTGGCTAGTGGCCACCATACTGGACAGGGCAACTCTAGAACCATGCCTGGCATAGAGTAGGCACTTATAAATATTCATTGAATTAAAGAATGTTGGGGCCGGCCGAGTGGCGCAATGGTTAAGAACTGGCTTGGGACGCCAGCAGGCCCCGGTTCGGATCCCACATGAGGGCCAGTGACACTGTGCCCTCTACAGCTAAGATGGTGAACAACAGCTCAACTTGGAGCTGGGCTGCCATGAGGTGCCGGCGAAGGCATAGGCTGCAGTGAAGCTGCATTGGGCTGCCATAAGCTACCATGTGTGGCCGGCAGCCAGCGTGAGCAGCCGGCAGCCGGTGTGAGCTGCCAAGAGCCTCC